GGAAATATTGTTTGCTGGTAACAAGGTGTAAATAAATCTAGAAATAATTCTAGTAGGAACACAAAGAAAAAAAATACTTCTTAAAAGGTCACCTAGAACAAAGGAAGTGAGGAAACATTCATGTGCATTTTGAAAGACACAAATGGTGCTGATTACTTTATCCCTATACTCAGACTGTCTACGTGGGTTAAAGCTAGCAATAATACCAGTTCTAATCTTAAAGGCCCATCGAGAGACATAAAACCAGACTGCTTAAGAAAGCTGGTTGTAAAACCACATCTGTGCAGCCAACACCATCACATGGCTGGAAAACAATCAGAATTCCAACAAGAACCAAGTGAATAAAACCCACAGAAAATTCCTTCATTGTGAAAGGAAGATTTTCTTTGGAAGATTTCCTACACAGTTCTAATCTCTTCAATACAATAATTTCATACTTGTGTGGAGCATGTCTCAAATAAGTTTCCAACAATATTTCAGGGAAGATTTCCTAACAATGAGCTACTTCTCAATTAATGTATTACCTATTTTTAGGTACAGCTCCATGTGCTAGCTCATGTCCAATGCCATAGTACTCACCACGAGCTCAACTGCCTGGGGTACCAGTGTTAGAATCCTGCCAGGCCACTGGTAGCATGGCTGGGTTATATTTGGTTCACCTTTTTCACAGGCATTTTGCAAACCACGTAAAACTGCCGGTTTAAATACAATGTCAAAGGATTTGAACAAGTGTCCAAAAAAATAACAAACAATATGGAAAATAAAATTTTAAAAAATATTTACCTCATCTTTACTTTTTTGTCCACTCAAAGATTTTTGCAGTTTGCCATACTGTCGGAAAGCTACATGGAGAATGAAGGCACACAGATACATAAATTTCCCCAGAGACAAATAAGAAAATAACGCAATCTACTATTTCCACACCAGCAGTTTTGTCGATTTAAGTTTGCGTATTTGTCATTATTTAGTTCAGAAGCAAGTTTATAATTAAGAATCATCATTTTATCCAGCACCAAGAAAACAATTTTAAAAAAATGCAATGATAAAGTTTTCAGCATCTGTACTTAACCTCAACTATCAGAATAACATTTTGAATTCCAATGCACAATGCCTCCCAGACCTAACCTGGACCACCGCCAGCTCAGACTGCTTTGACAGTCCCAACTGACAGTCCCAAGTGCCTCCTGCAAACTGACATGAGGATCCTGGCTGGTGATGGTACTTCCACAGGGAAAAGGGCCATGGTTTTTGTTCTGGGGCCAGTGGCCCTGGGTGGGCGGACGCCCCCTGAAATTCCGCACGGCGTAGGATGCCTCCCAGACCTAATGTGCCACCACCACCAACCTGGGCTGCTTTGATAGTCCCAAGTGCCTCCTGCAAACTGACATGAGGATCCTGGCTGGTGATGGTACTTTCACAGGGAAAAGGGCCGCGCTTGTTGTTCAGGGGCATGCGACCCTGGGTGGGTGGCTCCCCCGCCTGAAATTCCGCACGGTGCACGATGCCTCCCAGACCTAACCTGCCACCACCGCCAACTTGGGCTGCTTTGACAGTCCCAGTGCCTTCTCCTCTGACATCAGGATCCTGGGCTGGTGAGGTTTGTTTCACAGGGAACAGGGTCAGCCTTGGTGCTCAGGGGCCTGTGGCCCTGGGTGGCCAGCCACCTCCTCAAATTCCGCATGGCGCTGGATGCCTGCCAGACCCAACCTGCCACCACCAACTGTGGCTGCTTTGACAGTCCCAAGCGTCTCCTGCAAACTGGCATCAGCACCCTGGGCTGGTGATGGTTGTTTCTCGGGGAAAAGAGCCAGGCTTGGTGTTCAGGGGCCTGTGGCCCTAAGTTATCTTCCGCCTCCTGCATCTGATTTTTTTTTTTGTGTCTCACAGCTTCAAAGTAAGTAGGTGTTTTATAGTTATTTAGTTAATTTATTTTTAATCAGAAAATGTGTGGTTGATTTGAAACTCTTTGCTTGTCTTTCAGTCTCAGTGAATCCATTTTTCTAATATGATACAGTGATTTTTTATTCACTGAGAATATCTGATATTCTTCTCTGTTATGAAAGATTTCAGAGGTAAAAATTTGCAGTGCAGCATTCTGCACACTATTCTAGACCAGAAATTGAATTAATACAAAATATGTAACGTTTCAAATTCTGAAACACATTATGTGCAACTGGATGAAGACAATACTTCATTATCCAGGCTAAAATGTGTTGGTAAATGGCATTAAACAAATTCAATGTGCCATGGAACCCTAATGACTTATCCAAAGCCAAAGTAGACACAGAATTAAATCAAGCACTACTCTTTGAATGAGAATATTTATTATAAAGTGTTACCAGGGAATACTTGCCATTCATCTTTAAAAAACTTTTAAAATCTCATTCTTAGGGCATGTAATATATCATAACTTATCAAGATTTTTTTGCAACCTAGAGACACTAAAGATAGTGTTTAGTAAGGAATGGATTTCAAGTTGCTATACTTTCTTTCTAGGAAAAAGACTTGACTTTTTCTTTTCCTCCTAATATTTTAACTGTGAAGGATTCAAAGTCAGATACTATACTTAGTTTTAGTAAATATTCTCATATGCATATCTGGAAGAACACTATACTTAACAAGAGAAAAGTTTTTTTAGAAATTCCTATGCATGATCACCTATTCTATGTATTATTAGGCACAGCACAATCACCTTCTGAGGGTATTTTTATCAATTAGGCCCTTCAGTACGTCTGTCCTACCACCCCAAAACTTTCAATCACTGCCTTTCAATCTGTGTAGGAGCCACAGACTATTCCTTTCATCGTGGAGAAAAATATAGGACACATCCATAATTCCCCATCTAGGCTTCATGCTATTCCCTGCCAAGGTGGTTTGGCAAGCAGGGAAGATATTTCAAAGGAAAACATATAGGGCCTCACTCAGCCATATTAATGCTCCTTCACATTCCTCTTGCAATATTATCCTGCCCATAAGGCTTATTTAAGTACAAGAACATCTTTGGCAAGCAGGGCTTTCAAAACAGAGACCCGCGCAGAGAATCCAACAGCAGTACTTCGTTTTCACCTTCACACAATAGCCATGTTACAAAAACAACTTGTACTTACAGGGGAACAAAAAGTCATGGATAGGTTTAGATTTGAAATCAAATACAGCTTCCCCAGCAAATTCTAAAATCGAGAAAGTCTGCTGCTGTCACCTTGTCATTTTGCATAAATATTAGAAGGAAAAAAACCAAAACCCTACAGAAATATACAAGCCAATATTCTACAGCAGCACCATAAAGGGTGCTAGACTAAAAAACCTATTTTTTTAATTGGACAGAGTAGTGCGAAGCAAGGACTGTCCATTATATGGCTGACAAAAAACAACACATAGACACCCCCTACCTTAACAAATGTCTTCTCTAAGCAACTTCATGTTATGAGTATTCTAACACAGTGTTTTAATTGGAAGAATATATAGGGTTTTAATCCAAAAGACATCCCCATTATGCTTAATTTAACATTCCTCTTCCAAACTGAAAGCAAACAGGACAATTTCATCAGTTACACGATGGTGCATCTTACACTTGAAGGGACAAAGAAAATTCTCAGAAGTGTGATTCTGAAAAAAGTGCTGAAAGCAAAATTTCTTCTTGCACTTAAGCAACGAAGAATTTGAAGTCAAACTCATGAATGTAGTTCCTAAAGCACAAGGAGAAAAGACAGCTAACAGCTGCTCTGCAATAAGGTCTGTTACTGGTTTATCAGATGTGATCGGTTGACTACAGAGAAGTTTTGAAAAATTATTTTAAGGTAGCTCTGTTTTAACATGGGCTATGGTAAGACTATGGTGAACATTTTTGTAATTCAAACCTTTGAATGTATTGCATGCTGCACCCATCTTGGTCATCATTGTACAGCATGTGTATAACTGACAGATTTGCAACAAGTTTCTGAGCTGTAAGTTTATTTTTAATTACTTTCAAGTTCAGAAAAGTGGATTGGGATTATATTTAAGAAATACAAACTCTTAATTTAATATGAAATTAAGTTCTAATGAATTTGCTCCAGAGCAGACTTTTTATGCAATGCATGACAATTCTGCATTCTGCCATAAATTCCATCAGGCTTCAGCACACCCCAGTTTACCACCACTATTATTACTCACATCAATCACACAATGTTTACTCTGAGCATACACTTGCTTAGTCTGTGGGGACATTGGAATACAGAAATTCCCAGGAATATATTGAGCATGTGAACCCAGCTATTCCACACAATTAAATCCAATACAACAACAGCAGTATAAACACACTGCCTCTGAAATAGACCGATTTCACTTTTTTTAATCTTCTGTGACATACTTTTGCAGACACAATCTTAAAATTCTTAGATTGGCTCCCTATCATATAACAGGCTATGAAATCTTTAAAATGTACCTGGTTCTGTCTCCATTTGGAAAAGAAACCACAGCAAAATCAAAATCTTTAAAATCATATGACAATACATCTTTGTAGATAATTTTTCCTTTTACAACTAAAATTCCATTCAAGTCTGAGTTTGAACAGATATTCAGAAATATTTTTGAGAAAATAAAAATTCTACACTTCTATCTGTGATGAATTGTGCTTTCTTTTAGTACTTGATATCAAGGTCCTCTGTCTGACTTATACACTCATCTGCTCTTTGAACCTACAGTGTTTTATAGGCACATACTACACGCAAAGCTCTCTTCTTTAACTGATTAAAACGTGCTTATTTAACCCATCAGCCATGGGAATGCTGAAGAAAAAAATGAAATCATGATGATAAAAAGCTTATTTAAGCTTCAAAAGGAATGCATACTCAGGGATGCCTCATTTAACATGTAAGAAGTAACAGATACAGCTACCAAAGTATCACAGGAATTGATATTCTGTCAGCAGAGGGGCCAAACTGTAACCATCACCTGTACAGATTCAGACTGGCTTTCATTTGGTTGGTGCTATTTCCAATTCTGCCTTTTTTTTTTCTTAGAGAACTGCAAATGTCCAGCACCTCCAGGGTCTGTATCTTGTTCAACTCCAGCCTGCTGACACACTGATGAACAGCATCTGCCAATTCAAAGCAGCTCCGACCAGACTGACTTGATGCAATCTGGCAACCTTAATCACCTTAAGCTGTCCTCTGGAATACCTGTTCTGCATCTCAAAGTGCCTTTTCCACACAAGTAAAAATGGTTGGTGTAACTTTGTAGAAATTCACTGGTTTGTAACACTGGGCATAATGTTCTACATCTGGATAGTCTGGACAAATACACAAAACCCCCTTTTATTCTCCCAGGTTAACGTTTCCAGGAAGAAAGGGGGGCATGATTTAGAGGAAGAGTTGAGGCCTGAACATATGGTTGCTGTAACCTGTGCAACATAAGCTAAGAGAAGGAAAAGGTAGCTCATCCAAGTCCTATTCAGGAATACATTTAAGACACACCCATAGACGCTGGATATACAACCAAAGTATCACACACATAACAGGCTTAAAGAAAAAAGCAGAAATAGAAGGCCTTTTGCTAATTTTCTAGCTAGCAGCAAGTGTGACGTCTCCCTTTGGAAAGGGAGTTGGAGGCCAGTGGCAACAGGAGAACAAATTAGCTGTATTGGCTTGGAAAGTTTATGATTAGCTTGGGAGGTCTGAAGCCTGCTGATCACTACAAAAATAACATTTCACTTTGATGCATGTCTATCGACTCTCACTATATTAAAATGTTTTCATTTCTAAATGTGGGTTTCAGCTGCTGTGTCTGGCCACCATGTGACATGAAAGTGAGGATCTTTATGTAACACATTTTTTTTCTGATCAGTATTTCATATAAGAGAAGTTAGCAAATGCTGAATATTCTGTGTTCTTGTGTGCCTGCAGTGATTTAAGAGTTCAAACTAAGACAAAATAGTCATTCCTGAAAACACGTACTGGAATAAAATGCACAGGTTCACCATTAGAACTAAAATATCTTATGGCAAATTGAGTGGACAATGCTGATATTTTCAAAATAAAGCCAGAGAACTGCATAAATCAAGATCAAAACTCCACAGCACAAGCATATGAACTACCAGGACATTGACCATATATCCTCTAGCAAACATTAGAAAGAATTCATTTGTGTGTTGGCAGAAGTACAGCACCTTAAGCGCTTGTGCAATAAAAACGTCGGACATGACAATCAGACGGTATGAAACTATTCCTCACAGGGGCTTTAATACTTGTTATGAACTGCTGTATTAGAGAAGTTCAGTCTTTCTTTGCAGCTACCTTTGTATTTTTTTCAGCCAGAGGCAAATAACTCTTTACAAATGTGCCTCTTCCACCTCTGACTTGAGGATCTGGGATTGGTTTCCCTAAATGAGGCTTGTCTTAAATTAGCTTTACAATAAGAAAGAACTGCAATTGTACAGAGAAGCAATTGTGTTCAGCTTTATCTTCTGTTGCTACACAGCCTATAAAGCTCCCTCTGTCCTCTCTTCAGTGTACCACATGAGAAGGGCTAATGGGGATCTTTATGGCAATGGTCAGGGACTCTGAAAAGTTAGGTTCTTACACCTAAGCACAAGTGAAATGAGCTGTCTGTGTTCCTAGATGGACAGCCATATGCAAATATAATTCAAAATCAAGTTTAGATTTTAAGACCAGCATTGAATGAAGACCAAACTTCACAATTCTGAAGATATTAATGAATTTAGAGAATTAGAGAACTTGAGAGAAATCTGACATAGATAGAAAACTACTAGGCTGTGATACTTTGAGTTGAAGATGCAGTTGAAGATGCAGTTTCCAAAGTTACAGTGGGTTTACATTCAACATTCCTTCTGGTCAATCTCTAAATGAAGACAAAAATGAGAAGCAAAAGTTCTTAAAGTGCCCAGATCCCCCCACACACAATGACAGCTTCCCTCTTTCACAGTCTTTGTGCAGCTGTTGCCAAGGAAGTAACAGAAAAACCTCCACAGGTCTTTACTACTCATGGGTCTGTTTTCTTATTAGAGAGCCATGCAAATGTCCTCGTGACTTTTGCACAATATTCTTTCAGCTCATGGATGCTGCTTATTTCTGCAAGAGTTTCTTCTAGCCCAATAGTTACTTGCAGGTAATTGCAATAATGACAGTTCTACAGAGATTTTCAGAACAATATGAAAAAATTATATATCCTTTTTCTAGAAATTAGCAACTTCCTTACTAAAATATAGTAGTTGGTGATCCCCAGTTCTCTTCTTATGCAGACATGTTTTGAATCCTACATAGAAGTTTAATACAGATTCCAAACATCTGATGCTGACAGTTTATATGTGCAGGATAATGTATATTGAGAGCATGTACTATACAAACCAAGAAAACTGAAGAGATTGATTTAAAATTCACATTACACAGCTTGAGATAAGCTTCTGCATGAACTATCTGTCAAGGACAGCTACCATGGTTCTGTGATCAAATAGCTGGTGACACTAGGGAAATTTAGTATATATATGCAAATAAGCTGGAAATTATTTTAGACTGCTGTCACTATGCAAACAAACCAAAATGAAAGTTAAACAGAATGTTCTTTGTAATAGCTGAAAGAAGGAAGGACACATTTCAGACAGATGTCACTGAATGTCTGTTGAATATGCTTCTACTAATATAGTATGAAAAATTATGCCAATTATTTTAATGGGTAATTAAGTGGTTGATGTGAATACATTAATAACTTTTTCTTTTCCTTAGTAGTCTGATATTTGTGTTAATTTCATGCCTTGTGTTCTACATTTTTTTATTCAACAAACAGAACAAAATCTGGCACCAACATCAAACTGATGAACTAAAGAGTCAAAACTAGGCAACCTTTCAACTGAAATCCACAGGATTACACAGTAACACTGGGGCAGTTGTTAACTTAATGGAAGGAGCACAACACTGCACATTTAAGACACTTCACTCCATGCAAGATGAAATGCAGTTGACTTATCAAGCAGCAAAGAGCTCAGTCATGGAGAGACTTAGAACACTGTGGACAATTTAGCATCTGTTTAAGTTTAAGAAATATACACTGATGACATTCATGCTGTCAGGCTGACAGAGCAATTGGCTAACTCAGGCACATGACTTTTGTTTGTTCTAACCCACACTGGTTGGTCTACCATACAAACTTTTTTATCAGCGTTCTCCTCACCATGCTTTCAAAACCTGAACTTTTCACCACATTGTTTCTAAGCTGTGGACTAATACTTATAAAATACAGTCTTACACCAATCAGATTTCTGCTTTTGGCTATACAGTTTTAACAGCTAACTATAGTTGCATTCCGTTTCCAGCACAAGTCAGGATTAGTACAGAAAATATAAGGGCAGGAGAGCAACTTATAATAGCAATTAATGTCATAAATTCAGGCTGACATATGATGTCATTACTACTTATTTAAGTACAATATGAATGCAACAAATATTAGATATTTTTAAATATTTTTAATCTAACTCTAACATTGGGAAAGTTACTGTTTGTCTGAGCTGGTCATGAGCTAGTAAAAATTTTCCATTTTAATTGGGTGTGATCTAATCACCTTTCACACTGCTCCAAATGCTTTAGACTTTCCAAAACCAAGCTAGCTTAAGATATTTTACAGATTATTCCCAATGTTGTTTTTGTGCATGATAGGTAGCTGTCTATTGAGTAATAACTTTTTAACCAGTATTACTAGATAAAAACATGATCATGAAGGTCTCCACTACCCATTCTGTGACATGAGACCCTAACCAGGAAACAGTGAATAAAGGGTTTCTTAGAATTGTGGAAAGACCAGAAGGCAGCACAGTTGCATTGCAAGTTTGCAAATACGAACATGCCAGCCAAACCTAAGTGTGCGTAGAAAAGGGCCATTAAAAACGGCAAAACAAAGGATTATATTTTTTTGCACTATATTCTTATTCCCTGTGCAGATTTTTTTCTAGCTGTGTGGTCCCTTGCCTAAAATGAAAAACATTCCTGGAGGACTTTTGACATTGCAGTGATGAGGAGTAAGGAGAGGTTAGAGAACACCGACTGCAGCAAGGGTAACACTTGTTAACAACAAAAGCTCAGACTCAGTAATGGAACAGAAGAAGCTGATAATGAAAAGATGGGAGTCAAGTGGGAGGAGAAGGACTCTGACTAATACTCATGATTAACAGAGAGGGGATACTGGAAGACAACTGTGCTGATGAAAAAAGGTGCAGGAACTAAATGGGTTAGAGGCAGACTCTCACTGCTGTAGTGTGAACTCACAGGTAAGTGCTTCTTCCCAGCATCCTGTGAAATAGGAATGTAACATCCATTTAGTTGTCTACTATGAGCACTTTGTATCCAAGCAAAGGCATTAGGAGTAATACTTTTGAAGTGATTATCTCAGGATATACTGAGAGAGAGCATATAAAATTATTCAGGTCATGATTTAAAATGCTTGCCAAATGGGCAAAACAAAAAAATTGAAATGGAAAATTAAAGAATGTAATTAAGAACTGCTCTTCATAAAACAAGAAAAGTACAAACTTGCAAAACTCAACTGAACACCTTAAATTAGTTATTTAACAAGTAACAATGTCAAATACACAAACTGTGCACCAGGCTGTAACAACTTAGTCATCTAGCAACAAACAAGGCTGGGTTCTCTCTACTGATAATTCTGAAAGAGGTTTTCTCTCTGTAAATGACACAAGTACTGTAACCATGACATTCCATTAACATTATAACCATGAAAGGCTTTGATCTGTAGTTTATCAAGTAATTAAAAATTATATTGCTTTTCCATTGTTTTCCTGAACTTTTAATCCTTTCCTAACAGAATCTGTGGGTGGCAATAACATTTTCCCTGAGCAGTAAGACACAGACTGCAGATGCAATGGCTACAGAAAAAGACATTCCTAAACATACATCAACTTTCATATATATGTCCTTCCTCTTTGGGGAGCAGAGGTGTGACAGTGACAGTGATCAGAATCAGGACATGCACTTCTGACCTACAGAGCTCCTAAGAATGCTTCCTTCACAAGCCTCAAGGGATTGCCATTGACATCAAAGATAAGGACAAGCAGAAAACTGGCGCTTATCCTCTGGGATTTGAGTTTCTTCAATTCACTAAAAGATCTGCTCATGGAACAAGGCACTGCTACAAAAGATTTCCAAAAGCAAAATTTCGTCTTAAATTTCACATTAAACTTTCAATAATTAATATTTAGTGCTTAGCAAATCCAAAGAGAAGTTGATTAAATCCATTTAGTCAAGAACCACCTCGCCCTTGGGGAAATTTTCAAAAGCACCTGAAGTGCAAAAAACCCAGAGATCCTAGTGCAAGTCAGCACATCTGTTCTGTTCATCTTTCCCAGTGCTTTGAGCAAATCTCCCCCATAAAGCACCAAAAATGTAAAAACATCTCTAAAAGCATCCTTTGCTCAAAAATGACTGTTCCATGTATTCAGCATTACATTTCTGATGGGCTTCTGAGAGTGCTACTCTTTGGAGAGCAAGCACCTCTTTATTTTGAGAATAAATTAATAAAAAATTTTAAATGACAAATGTAAACTACTTTTCCACCAAGCAATTCAGCTCAATATCTCAAAATCCCAACAAAGCATTCATGAGTAAGTACTTGGAACACTTTTTTTAAGCAAGGCACCAGTGACTTCAGGACCCCAAACTCTCAGGTTGCTGAAGGTCTTCACCAGCACACGCATTGCTGCGCAAGGCAGAGGCCCCCAAGGGAGTGTTCAAGGGATCTGCTGTGAGTACAGAACATAATTTAGCAGTAACAAGCTAAACCAACAACTACTGGGTCAGGTCTGTGCTGGCAAATGGCTTCCACCATCGTTGCAAAAGGAATATCTGCAAAAATCTCAGAGTTTTTACCCATGTTATGCCCAGAGCTATTACAGCTGGCATAGCACTGAAAAACAAATGCTCAGTAGGATAAAGAGAAAAGAGTTTGTGCAGGAAGTCTGCAACTGTGTTCAAAATGAACTCCTGATGACATTTTACATTTTGTATGCAATCAAATTCTTATTCTTTCTTTGTCCCTAAAAAAGATCTTCAAAGGAAAAAAAAAACACCAAACTGTCAAGAGTCCTCGATATAAAGAAGAATGCACTAAATGCTATGGGGTCAAAAGTTTGAAAAATATCTGGGTTTTTATTTCCAACATACCCACCCTACAAGCAGGCTGCACAGCTTTCCTTAACAGCATTCTTAGAACTGAGGAGAACACATGAGCCAATTTCCTCCTCCTCCTGTCGGTACCGTCAGCCCCTGGAGGGTTTGAGGCAGCCCTGCAAGCAGCGATGTAGGTCACTCCTGCTGAATTGCTTGCCCTGAGCTCTGTGCAGCTGTACCAGCTCTGGCATACACAATCCTCCTGTGCCAGGAGTCA